TGAATTCCACATATGAGTGAAATCATGTGGTATTTGTATTTCTCTGACTGGCTTGTGTCACTTAGCATTATGCTGTCTCTAGCTCCATCCTTATTGTTGCAAATAGCAAGATTTCATTCTTTTTTATGGCTGAGGAATATTCCATTGTGTAAATATACCACATCTTCTTTATCCATTCATTACTTGATGGATACTTGGGCTGTTTCTATAATTTGGCTATTATAGATAGTTCTCCTATAAACATTGGGATGCGTGTATACCTTTGAATTAGTATTTTTATATTCTTTGGGTAAATACCTGGTAGTGTAATTACTGGGTCATAGAGTAGTTCTATTTTTAACTTTTTGAGGAGCTCCATACTGCAAAAACAGAATTTTTCTAATTATTTTTTTAATTGAAATCTTCCTTGAGATTGTTGCAAATTCACATGCAATTATAAGAAGTAATACACTGAAAGTTCATGTACTCTTTATCCAGTTTCCTCCAATAGTAACATTTTACAAAATTATAGTATATTACAACCAGGATGTTTACAGTTATAAAATCTGCTGAACTTATTCAGATTTCTCCAGATGTACTAATGCTCATTTGTGCGTCCATGTGTGTATGTGTGTGTGTGCATGTGTGATTTAATTCTATACATTCATATCATGTGTAGGTTTCTGTATACTCCACTGTAGTCTTACAACTATTTTGAAAAGTGCAGGAAATGCTAGAGTTGGAAAGAACTGAAAGTTTCTGGCCGTGTTCCCCACTGAAGAGTACATGGTATTAAGTGATTAGAACTAATATTTACCCTTTAAACATGTTTTATTTTTAAAATTAATTTCCTTTAACATATTATAAACATTTTTTTAATTATAAACATTTTGAGTACAGTAATCACTTTGTGTTTTGTTGTACCTTTATCCACATCCCAGCCCAGAGCTTACTTTGGTGCTCTGTGCAAAGATGTTTAATTCATGTTTAAAATACAAATATAGGGATGCCTGGGTGGCTTAGCAGTTTAGTGTCTGCCTTTGGCTCAGGTCGTGATCCCAGGGTCCTGGGATCGAGTCCTGCGTCAGACTCCCCATGGGGAGCCTGCTTCTCCCTCTGCCTTTCTCTCTGTGTCTCTCTCGTGTATAAGTTAATCTAAAAAAATAAAAAATAAAAAAATACAAATACATGTTGTTAAACGGAATTAAAAAGTAGAAATGTCTTAGGCATTTTCTCTTTTAAATTGAGAATAGTATTTTTCAAAGCTCACATCCTTATTATGTTTCCTTGCACATATGTTCTACTACATGAAAGGACTTTATGAATGTTTGATCTTGTGAAGGCAGTGTTGCTACCTTTGATAAAAAAGTAATTAGGTGAGCATTTCCTGGTAAAGGTAATCATCAAAGTTTGGAAGTACATGTTTCCTTTTAACTATTGTATTTGGAGGTAGGCCCCCTCCCCCTGTTCCCCATCTATCTCTGTGTCGCTCCAGACCTGTGAAAGACAACTTCGGTGAATTTATTTCTGTTAGAGCCAGCATTGAAGAAAAAAAAAAAAATCCAGCTTTTCTCTAATGGACTATAACAACAGGTAACAAAACGACAGTAGTTGTGTCATGGGTTTCATTTGGTATTTAATACTGTCTCTGAAAAAACAAAATGCCCAGGAGTGATTCACAAATTCTTTTTTTTTGTTGTTGTTGTTTTGATTCACAAATTGTTTGGAGAATAAGCACAAATAAAATTTTTGTATTTTCATATAATTAGGGATACTATTAGGAAAATAAAAAAAACATATCTTCTCTTATTTGAGACTTCAAATTAGATGTTTTCTGCCTATCTTGTGAAGTTTTTTAAATCTTGGAAATTAAGTGTCTGGCTGTGCATACTCGATAAATTGAAATGGGAACGCCTAGTGAGGGGTAATAGAGCTAACACCAGTACAATGTGTGTAGCTTCGACTGAGGCAAGTGATTACTCTATCTGATGACCCTTGTCTTTTTCAATTGCCTGTTTAGGTTTCTGTGCTTGTTTGCTTGGTACTGTTAGAATGTGTTGGGTAGACATGGTATGGCACAGTGTAGCTGAAGCTTCTCTGGGCCCAGAGAAGTCACGATGTGTAAATAGTATATGATCTGAAACCATACAGATGTCGCACATCAAAAGTTTTGGACAAAGAAACCATGTGACATCATGTTTTAACATATATGTGTATTTGTACATGCAATTTATATACACATATGTAGCTATTATTAAATTTCCATGTATATGGGTAGATTGAGGCACAGAGAGATTTCTGCAGCTATGATGGCACAGCCAGATAGTGGTAGAGATTATTTCCACTCTATCCTTTGGAATTCACTTTAAAAATCGGTTTACAGAGCAACATATTGATAATTTTGATTACCAAAATTTGATAAGTTTGGTGATCATGGAATATGCCTTCTTCAAGATGCTGTTGCATTTGTTCTTGAAATTTAGAGAAGAGTTTTTAAGAAGTGGTTTGAAGCTTAAGAAGAGGAGAAATGTGTAAGGCATTGTATTGCATAATAGATATTAAAAAATCTTTTGGAATGTGTTTTCTGAGTTACTGCAGAATGATAGCAACGCTGAAGAAGTGGCTTTTGAATAAATTCTGTTGACTGAATTTCTTGACTCTCTTACTGCTTGCCCACTCGTTGTGGGCCTCACAGAGAAGGTCTGTTAACTTGTAAACAGCACTCAAAACAGTGGTAGCAACAATGAAGACATATTTACTAAAGATAACCAGTTGATCACGTTTCTTAATCTCCTTATGTGTAAGCCTAGGCGTTGTCATGGTGTATGCAGAGGTGAAACTATCATCCTCTGCATTTAGACTCTTAACTCTTTAGAAGATAGAAAACAGACCATGTACTAGAATAGAAGGATATTACAAGGATGATGGCAAATTCAGAAAGGAAATTTGAACATTGTTTTAGAAGTTGTGGGGATGGGGAAGAAGAGAGAAGGCTGGGGAGAAATCCAGCAGGGAAGATAAAGGCAACCCATGATGAATTGATGTTGGCCCTTATACCAATTTAATATTGCTATTTTACCTTTTTTCCCCACTCTTGCTGGACCTTGTAATGTATCTTTTCACACTTCTATCAAAGAGGAGGCAAAAAACCACAAAGCAGGAAACTTTGTCAAGAAAACAAGTTCTAGGGCAGCCCTGGTGGCTTAGCAGTTTAGCACCACCTTTAGCCCAGGGCCTGATCCTGGAGACCCAGCATCAAGTCCTGTGTTGGGCTCCCTGCATGGAGCCTGCTTCTCTCTCTGCGCCGCCCCCCCCCCCCATGAATAAATATAATCTAAAAAAATAAAAAAAAGAAAAGAAAACAAGTTCTGGACTCTCTTCCATGGGCATTACCCATCACACTTCATCCCCACCCCACCCCCCCACTAGCTCTGGCCATAGTTTCATGATTATTCATAGTAAAGACCCAGAATGAAAAAGATTACATTTCTCTTTAAGAAGGTGGGGGAATAGGTAATATATCTTAGAACACTTTACATTAAAAAGAACTGAGAACGCAAGTTTGGGGAAAACTTCAGATTCTAGAACACTTACGTACTGGGGAGGGGTGGTTAGTCCTTCTTCCTAACTTTGTCTCAGAGAGCCCAGTGAAACAGGTATTTTTTTTTTTTTTTGCAATGAAACGGTTATTATATCACATTTTCTGTATATATCTTTCCTGGTTTAGGCTTGCATGTACAGCACTCCATTTTCCTGTTTGAATAAATGTCTTCTCTTTAACTTGAAATAGGATCCAGTAGGGTATTATGTGGTGTATATATGTAAACTTCATTAGTCCCACTTAAAAAAATTCCTTTGTCTACTATCCTTTAATCTCATCAACTAATATTAAAGAGGCTTCCTGATCTGTTTTGTACATTTATCAGTTGTTGCCTTCGGCCAACATTAAATTAATTTGGGTAATGCTTTCATCGGATATTATATTATACTGTATTAGTAGAAAATGTTAGAGGGTGGGAGGGTGAGGGGATGGGTAACTGGGTGACAGGCACTGAGGAGGGCACTTGATGGGATGAGCCCTAGGTGTCAAACTATATGTTGGCAAATTGAATTTAAATAAAAAATAAATGTTAGATGTCATTACTGAAGAGAAACAATCACAAAACCTTATTTCTTGAACATTTAGTCTAAAACAGCTCTTAAGGTTGTAAGTACTTAAAAAAAAAGCTTTAGAGATGTCACCATACCTTTGGCACTCCATGCCCTCCCTCTCCTATTCCTTCAGTGCCTCATTCACATATCAAACATGACCAGAAATGAAGCTATGTCTTTGCATTCTTCTTGACATAGTCATTTGCTTAGGATAAAACAGTGTAGCAGATGTTTGTAATTTTTGCAGACTTTTCAACTTGTCTGGGACATCATACTGTCTGACATCGTTCATTACTCTGTATGAGACACGAATAACCATAAAGCAGGAATTTTGAGAAGCCATGAGGAATTGGGGCTGAATATAGTGTGCTTTGATTATAGAGACAAAAATGGCCAATTTTATGATGTAGAGGTGATCAAAGGTACATTTTCCATGTATAATCAGATGGTTAGTAAATACTTTCTCACAAATACTTTTTCACAGCAAAAATACATGAGCAATGACAATTGTTAGCCGGATGTTAGTAAGAAAAACTTAAATCATTTTAAAACGATTTTTATCTGTTTCACTTCTGTACTTACATATGTGATTTGGTAGTCTTTTTACCTGTTCAGTCTTATGAGAACTTAAGGATCAGGAGATTTAAATGTTTTAAAAGGATTTCTTTTTTACTGTTACTGTTGGAGGACTAAAAGAAAGAAAGTTAAACTGGCTTTACAGTGACCAACGTATGAGTATTAGTAGTGTCCGCTCAGCACTTTGTTGGGACAGTTGAGTAATACATAGTTAATTGGTGACATTAAGAGCAGTTATAGAAAGAATGACTTCCTCTGACCTTTTCTTTTCTTTCTTTTTTTTTTTTTTAAAGATTTGTAGCCAAACCATGTGCCATAGCCCTCAACATCCAGGCCAATGGACCACAAATTGCCCAGCCAAATGCCATTCTGGAAAAGGTCTTCACTGCAATTACGAAGGTATGATTATCTTTTTGTATGGTTTGAATTATCATGACCATCATTCTTAATCTGTATTTGATCCCTGCTCTCCTGAGTTTGAGAACTAATTGCCCATCCTCATGCTCGAAAGAAGCTGGGTAGAAGCTGAATAATAGTGGGCATGTTTGAGACCTGTTTGTTTACTCTAACATTGATTTTAGATGCTTGTCTATAAAGAACAGTCTAGATTAGATACTGATTAGTCTAATTCTGTGCCTCTCTTAATCTCACATGACATGAAACAGCATGTATAACAGTTGGATAGGATTTTGTGGGGATGACAAGGTAGACCTGAGGAATATAATTAATGTACAGACGCACCTTAGAAATATTGTGGGTTTGGTTTGAGACCACTGCAATAATGCAAATATTACAATAAGATGAGGCAAATGAATTTTTTGGTTTCTCAGTACATATAAAAGTCATGCTTACACTGTACAGTAGTCTGTTAAGGGTTCAATAGCATTATGTCTAAAAAATGTATACTTTAATTTAAAAATATTTTATTGCTAAAATGCCAACCATCATCTGAGCTTTCAGCACGTTGTAATGTTTTTGTTGGTAGAAGTTCTTGTCTGCATGTTGACGGTTGCTGAGTGATCAGGGTGGTGGTTGCTGAAGTTTGGGGTGATTGTGGCAACTTCCTAAAATAAGACAGTAATAAAGTTTGCTGCATTGGTTGACTCTTCCTTTGTGAAAAATTTCTCTGTAGCATGGATAGCATGAATAGCAATGCTGTTTGATGTCATTTTACCTTTCTTTCAAAAGTGGAATCTATCCTCTCAGGCCCCACTGCTGCTTTATCAACTAAGTTTACATAATATTCTAAATCTTTTCTTGTCATTTCAATAATCTTTGCAGCATCTCACCAAGGGGAAATTTCATTTTAAGAAACCACTTTCTTTGTTCATTCATAAGAAGCAACTTCTTATCCATTAAGGTGTTATCAAGAGATGGCAGCAATTCAAATATAATACTAATCAAAAGGTTGGAAATATTGAAGAGTTACCAAACCATGAGACAGAAACACATAATGAGCAAATGCCATTAAAAAAAAAAAGGCAATGATAGACTTATTTGATGCAGGGTTGCCACACACTTTCAATATGTAAAAAATGCCGTGATTTGCAAAGTGCAATAAATGAAGTGCAATAAAATGTGGTACGCCTGCAGGTGTGAGAAAAAGTGCCCATTTGCTTATAGCATTGTCTTTCTGTTTCTGCAGTTATGGTTCATAGGCAGATGTAAACAAAAGAGGGAACAATTGAAGAACAGCAGAGTTGCAACATGAAAGAATGAAGGACAAGGGTCTGGAGAGTTTTAAGTCACAGATTCACTGTAGAGAAAATAGGAAAAGAGATAATCGTTGTGGTGAGTTAAAGTCCAAAGTAGGATCTGGGGGAGCAGAGCAGGGCAGGGTGCAGATAGTTGCTCCTCAGCTGATAGATAACACTTAAGAATGAAGAAGGGTTGGGACTAAGGTTGGTGGCTTAGTGGTTGAGCATCTGCCTTTGGCTCAGGTCGTGATCCCATGGTCCTGGGATTGAGTCCCACATTGGGCTCCCCACAGGGAGCCTACTTCTCCCTCTGCCTTTGTCTCTGCCTCTTTCTGTGTCTCTCATGAATAAATAAATAAAATCTTAAAAAAAATAAAATAAAAAGGAGGGAGGAGAAAGATGGAAGCCACAAACCCTCCATCTCAGGCCATGAGGAAGCACATCATAGCATTCAAGTATCTTCTTACATGTTTCTCTACCTTGTCCTCTTGTGTGGACAAGAAAGAAGACCAGGAAAAGTGTAACATTCTAGGAGAAGTGTTGTTGTCAGTATATTAGATGATTCATTTCCCCTTTTTCATTTTTCTGGGACAATTACTCAGGCTTCTAAAATGTGATTTGACAGTATTAAGTTTTATTCCTGTTCTGGTATTTGTATTGTTAACCATTTACATTCCTTGTTTCTTGTCTGAAACCTGTTAATTCAAATATTCAAACATTTTTGTTTATTTTATCGTCTTTATTTCTGTTACGATTCTCTAAGATTCCCCTCCCCCCCACCAAATGGTATTTTTCCTGGAGTGGTAGAAGAAAACACTAGGTATTTTTTTATACCTCTGCTAGGAAGAAGAGAAGAATGTATGAGATTTTACAAAAAGCTCTTCTGCTAGTATTATAGGAAGATTAAATTACAAAGTTTTAACCTGAAGGGGCACAATACAGTACTTAAGGGAGAAAATATTAAGAAAAAACTTGTATTTTCGTTTAACATACCAATTTACTGTAAGAGACACTTCTTTCCCTCTGAAACAGCAGAAGGGTAGGAAGTTATCAGGTTTTTTAAAAATGAGATTATAATATATTTGTATTTACCTTGTGAAGTACTCAAAATGCATAATGAAATGAGTTTTCTACCCAAATGTTATGTCTCCCTTTAGAAACTCTGCAGTGGACATTTTATTCCCTTGCCTTATGTTTATTATGGTTACTGGAGAAATTTACCCCATAAAGATAATAAAAGGATTTTGCACTCAGGTTGACAGCTCTAGAGGATATTTGCTTCTAGCAAATAATTTTAATCATATTCTCTTAGTTTCCAAGGTGATTCTCTGGACATTTTTACATGATTAGAGGAGAAGCCTCATGTGTTAAATAAAATGTAGCAAAAGTTGGAACATTATTTCCTTGAATTCTTTATAGTTGTCCAGTGTTATTTATGATATAAGAAAGTAACAGGTCAGTTGACCAGAATAGGAGTAGCAGGACTTGGAGAGTCTCAGAGTATTTGTATGTGTTTGAGTGATCATCCACCAACCTGGCCTTGACTGTGGTTCTAGATCACCTTTGGAGTAGGGCATGGTTATCATCTTTCAAATGTGTAGGGATGCACTCTCAAAATGCTTAAAATCTGCTCTGTATATATAGGATTGGCTACATAATTTGTGGAGTCAGTGCAGAATGAAAATGCAGGGCCTCTTTTTTATTTGCAGAGCCTCCTTTTTAAAAAGTATGAAAAAGGGATCCCTGGGTGGCGCAGCGGTTTGGCGCCTGCCTTTGGCCCAGGGCGCGATCCTGGAGACCCGGGATCGAATCCCACGTCGGGCTCCCGGTGCATGGAGCCTGCTTCTCCCTCTGCCTATGTCTCTGCCTCTCTCTCTCTCTCTCTCTCTCTCTCTCTCTCTCTCTCTCTCTCTCTCTCACTGTGTGCCTATCATAAATAAATAAATAAAAAAAATAAAAAGTATGAAAAAAATACCCTTCAAGGCATAAAATTATAAAGCTTTTTCTTTTCTTCCATAGGTTCTTTTTCTTGACTTGTCAAGGTCAAGGTATTTTGGTATTTGCTATTCAATGTCTTGCTCCCTCAGGCATGGGGATACTTAGGAAAAGCAAGTACAGAACCTCACGGGTACCTGGGACCCAGTCCTCTGACTTTGTGTACACGGAGCTCACCACCTGCTGAGTATTGTCTCTTGCCAGTCACTAGGCTGACATGCCTGCCCTTCTCTGGCCAGAGGTGGAGAAATTGAGACAAGTTTCTTCCCTTTCCATGAGCCTACTGCCCTAACCCACAGTGTACAGTTAACTCCCAAGGGTATTGCAATCTCTACATCAGGACATACTTGGTACCTGGATTGGGGTGAGCAAGAGGCTCATCCCCATTGATTCACCCATCAAATACAGTACCCAGCCTAGGGTGCAGGTGGCTGCCTCCGCGTCCCACACTGAGACACTGTGGGGTACGCACACCTGACTCTAGTGTTTTCCATGCTTGCACCTGAGGCAGCAGTAGTCACTAGGCAGAGTGGGAAGGGGGAGGAGGCTTCAGGAGCTTGGGGAGTCGGGACAGAGAAATAAGTTCCCCAGAACTTGTCTAGGGGGAATGGTAGGACTGACTGTGTGTGAGCCAAGACTGAGCCCCTGACACATGTTCTTCTGTCTCATTGGACTTAATATACAAAATACCAATTCCATGACAAAATTATTAAGAATTTGGATAGCAGCCATAGAGCTTGAAACCCCAAAGCAAGGACCTTTCTGAATGTGGATCTCTTTATGGACACACTGGTCACATGCCCTGACTGTGTAGTTCTCATCTATGTAATTATCTGATGAATTTGCACCCCTTTGTGTTAACAGTCTTTCTTTTTGAGGTAATGTCTGTCTATTTTTCTGTATACTTGGTATAAATAAATTAGAGTGTGTGTAGAGTTGTTTACTTATGTATGTTTATTTACATTTTGGGAATTGTCCTGCCATATTATTGGCACATATGTATAATCCCCACAGCTTCACTTTTCTAATCAAATCAATTCTTGAGCCACTGAAGGAAAAATATATATGTCAGCTGTGAGACCAGATTTTATGATCCAGAGAAATCATATCATCATCCACTTTTGGTATGTTACTCTGTATTTTTAAAATTATAGGCAAATTTCCTGTAATTTGTTCTCTCTTACTATCCTCTTATGCCCATCTCTTTCTTTCCTTTTTGCTTTCCTTTTCCCTTCCAGTATTTGTTATGAATATTAAAATCAACCTAGGTATTTCTGGAATAAAAATGTCTATATAGCATTGTTAATTTCTTTCCTTGGAAATCTTTCTTTTTTTTTTTTTAAGATTTATTTATTTTAGAGAGAGAGCAGCAGCAGGGAGAGAGAGAGAAAAAACACAAGTGGAGGAAGTGGCAAGGGACCGTCCCAACAGGGGGCTCAATCCCAGGACCCTGAGATCATGACCCTAGCTGAAATCAAGAGTCTGGTCCTTAACTGACCCAGTCACCTTGGAAATCTTAAAAAAGAAATAAACTAAGGAAAACAATTAAAAAATGCAAAACAATTAAAAAACACACAAAGAAGAAAGAAAATCACCCAAATTTTATTTTTGGTAGACTAGTAGATACATACCTCTAAATTTCAAAATGTATATAAAGGCTAACAAAGAATAGTTGAGGGTTGGGCAGAAGCCAAGTAGGAGGAAGTA